TTTTTAACGTTACTACACTCTCTCTCTCTAGCAGCGAATTACGTCGACTCTTACTCCCTCCTACTTTCTATCTTCTCTCTCTCTCTCTCTCTCTCTCTCTCGCTACAGGCAGTTTCACGATCTTTACTCCTCTATCTTTAATCTCTCTCTCTTTCTACTAGGCATTTCCACGATCTTTACTCCTCTGTTTTTAATCTCTCACTCAAAGGCATTTTCTCGATCTTTACTCTCTGTTTTTAATCCTCTCTCTCTCTAACAGGCATTTCACGATCTTTACTGCTCTCTGTTTTCACTCTCTCTCTAGCAGGCGTTTTCACGACCATTTCTCTGTTTCTTGAGTTAAAAGACATCCAACCGATCTTTGCTCCTCTCTCTCCCTCTCTCTCTAGATTCTACCTTCTCCCTAAACTTGCAGGCGTTCCATTCGTTCTTCTCTTTTTTGACAAGGATCATTCGATCACTGGTGTGCTCCGACCTACTGCCATCGGCGTGGTGTATGCAGAACTCCAAGGGCGGTGCCACCACTCCATGCTCCGGCCTCGTGGCGAGGTCATCCTCTCAGCCGGTGCCATCGGCAGCTCCCAACTATTGATGTTGAGCGGCATCGGGCCAAACCACAGCCTCATCGGATGGGGCATCTCGGTTGCCCACCACCTCCTGAACGTCGGCAACGCCATGCGCGACAACCCTCGGAATGCTCTCTCCTTCATCTCTCCTGTTCGCCTCCCACTCCCCCTCATCCAGGTCGTTGCCATCGCCACCAATGTCTTTCTAGAAGCTGCCTCCAACTTCCTCCCCTTCACCCCCCGCTCTTGCTCCTCATTTCTTTTTCCTCGGTATTCCTCTATCCCACTCAACATCGTTTACGTTATGGCGAAAATTCTTGACCCCCTGCCGAGTGGTTTCTTACGCCTGGCCTCCTCAAATGTCTGCGACGATCCATTGGTGAGGTTCAATTACTTTGAGGAGGGGTTGGATTTGCAGAGGTACGTGAAAGGGGTGAGGTTGGTGGCTAGAGTTCTCAAGACGAATGCAATGGAGCAGTTCGAGTTCTCAGAGCAGCGTTTTGGGGAGAGGGAGTTCTGGTATTTGGACAACGTGCGGTTGCCGGCCAATGTGAGCATCGACGATTCAGTCGGTGAGTTCTATTGAAGAACGGTGTCGACGATATGACATTGCCATGGGGGTTGCGTTATGGAGGAGGTGGTTGACGCTCAGTGGGTGCATGCCATCAGGGACGTCGATGGCTCCACCTTCTTGCATTCGCCCGGGACCCATCCTCAAGCCACGGTCATGATGCTGGGCTAGTAAAAAAAGAGCTCCCCCTCTCTCTCTTTCTAGCGTGAACCATGATTTTTGAGTAAGAGCGTTGAATTTATACGAAAATCCGGTATAAGTAGAAGATGCCATTTTCTCACCTTCCTTTTTTTTTATTTTTTTTTTTGGCTTTTTGTTTTTTATGTGTTAGCCATTTATTTATTTATTTCCGTAGAAGATAAGTGCGATTGTATTAGCTATACTATTATAGTGACACATTCTTTGATAGAGTAGTAAGGATATCACACTTATTTTTTTTAGAGAATAAATCGGAAAGAGACAGAAGTCAAACAAAACTAAGAACTACGTCCTTTTTCTGGTTTCTTGTTTCGGGAGCATGAGGCACTTTTTGTTTCTAAGCAAAGCTACACTTTGTGCGCATCTTAAAGTCTTTTCCCCCATTTGATTTTGGCTGATTGCTTTTTGACATGTGAATCAATTCTGAATTGTAAATGGTCCCTTATTGCTTTTCCATCATAATTAGAGTTCTAGTTTGAGTTTCTCTTTTGAACTGCGAAAAAAATCAAATTGGCTCTCCTTATCATTACCAACACAACCACTACCATCACACTGCAATTTATTAGATTAGAGTCTAGATTCAACTATAGTTAAGCGGGATTGAGGTCTTTATCTAATGGGAACGCGTTTCATGTAAAATGATATTGTGTTCCCATGTTCATTAGGATCGCGCTTCCATAGACAACACGCGATCCCCATAGACAACACGCGATCCCATTTAAAGTTGAGTCGTGCCCCCATTTAAGAAAATGTTTTCTTATTTGGAATGGATCTAGCTTCATTCAAAGTTGGATCGTGTTCTGTTTAATTTTGACTCAATCTCTACCTGTCCTCTTGTCCTCTGCCTCTCTCTCTCTTTTGATCAGACATTCACCATCTCTTCAACCTCCGCACCTCTAATCCAATAGACCCATCTGCTAAAACGTGCCCCTCTTTCCGTCTAACTTCATGAACACATTTGTCAGACTTCACAGTGGGTGGATTGTTTCTCTCTCCTCAAAAAGCACAACAGCAACAAAAATCCACATACCCATTTCAACCTCAGTTGCTAGCAGTTGGGGACCTCCATGGCGATTTCCAAAAGGTTAAACAAGCTTTGAAAATGGCTAAAATCTTTGATGAAAAGCTATTCATTGGATTGCAGGAAACTCCATGATTGTGAAACTTGGTGATATATTTGACTGGGTTAATATTTTAATTCATTTGGTCCAAAAACAGGATTAATATTTTCGAGATTGGTCATTTGGTCCAAAAAATAGGATTAATATTTTAATTCATAAAATATATATTTTTTGACAATTTTGAGTACTTTTGAGCATTCCACCCTTGTTTAGTGGCTCCTTTATATAAGGAAACCCACTTATTTGTAATCTCTCTCTTGGTCATTTGTAACTTGGGCAATAAAATTCTTGAATACTTGAGATTTTAGAGTGAGATTTTTTATTTCTTAGCATTTTATTTTCACTTTGCATTCAAGTTCAAGACGAAGATGAGAGGAGAGACAAACATTTCCTAGAGAGAGAATACCCCTAGAGCACCATACACCTTAATTTATCTCCTAAACCTTACCTTACTTCATACACTATAGAGCACCATACACCTTAGACTATCCGCTACACCCCACCCCATACCATATACCATAGTCTCCTTTGTACCTTAGCCTACCCTATACTCCTTAAGTTCCCATACACCATACCTCAACCCAACCTACCTAACCATACACCTGAGCCTTAGACCCTAGTCTTGATCCACCAAGCCTAAGCCTCTCTCTCTAATGTGCATGCAAGGGGACCGATGGATGCGTACTTAGGCACAAATACATCGAGATGTATGATTATGAAAGAAAAAAGGATTTTGAGTCACAAAAATAGTGAATTTACAATACATTATCTAGACTATTAATTTTTTAAAATTTTCATATGTTTATATATCTGCATGATTTTAACCATTTTTGGAGTTTAAAATTTTATAATTAGATATGCAAATACCTTTTGAGATAATCCTAAGAATATTTTATATCAATATTATATGGTATGATCTTTGAAGGTGCTCTTTAATTGGATTGTTTAAGCTTGCAACCTTGTGGAAACTCTCTTGATAAAAAATCATCGTTCACGCTATGCTCTTTGTGTCTCTGTCGCTGGCCCTTCGCTCCTCCAACATCTCCACTCCCACGTACCTAATCAGGGAAATGCATTGACAAAAATATCACCTGCTAGAAAGGGAGAGAGAGGGGGAGCACTTCTTAACCGGTCGAGCATCATGACCGTGGCTTGAGGATTGGTCCAGGGCGAATGCGAGAAGGTGGAGCCATCAACGTCCCTGATGACCTGCACCCCATTGAGCATCTACCACCTCCTCCATAATGCAACCCCCATGGTAATGCCATATCGTTGACACCGTTCTTCAGCAGAACTCACCGATTGCATCGTCGTTGCTCACATTGGCCGGCAACCGCACGTCGTCCAAGTACCAGAACTCCCTCTCCCCGAAACGCTGCCTTGGGAACTTGAACTGGTCCATTGCACTCGTTCTGAGAACCCTAGCCACCAACTTCACCCCTTCCACGTACCTCTGCAAATCCAATCCCTCCTCAAAGTAATTGAACCTCACCAATGGATTGTCGCAGACATTTGAGGAGGCCAGGCATAAGGAATCACTCGACAGGGGGCTAAAAATTTTCGCTATAACGGAAGCAATGTTGAGTAGGATAGAGGTATACCGAAGAGCAAGAACGAGGAGCAGGAGCGGGGGGTGAAGGGGAGGAAGTTGGATGTGGCTTCTAGAAAGACATTGGTGGTGATGGCAACGACCTGGATGAGGGAAAGTGGGAGGCGAACAAGAGTGACGAAGGAGAGAGCATTCCGGGGGTTGTCGCTCATGGCGTTGCCGACGGCTGGGAGGTGGTGGGCGACCGGGATGCCCCATCTGATGAGGCTGTGGTTTAGCCCGATGCCGCTCAACATCAACAGTTGGGGGCTGCCGATGGCAATGGCTGAGAGGATGACCTCGCCACGCGGCCGGGGCATGATGTGGTGGCGCTGCCCTTGGAGATCCGTATACACCATGCCGATGGCAGTGGGTCGGAGCACACGAGTGCATGTGATGGGGGCACAAATGAGAATTACCTTCTAATAAGTGCAAGGAATTCTTGGAGGAGGGGAAGGTATTTCTATTGGATATTTTCATGTGCTTTTGACACGGACATTTGTTTTTGTAAAATTTGTTCTAAAGTCCTTGTAATGAGCAGACATGGTTTCTACGAGTTCACGTAGAAATGGGACACCTCTTAAAAATCTATTTTTGTACTTAATTTTTAAGGTCGTGTAATCTCTCAATTTTTAAGGTCATGTAATCTCTAACATGGAGATCATGAATATGAATAAGCTTACTCCCAAAAAAAAAAATCATGAATATGAAAAAATAAATAAATTTTGAAAATTAAAAATAGTAATTTTATTAAAAAAACATTTGGACCGTTAGTTTCAATTGTTTATAAATGGACCACCTATTTGCATCCATCTTTAAGATTCATGCTTTAAAACTTGGGGCTTAATATTGTAGAAATGCGGTCCAGCCCGCATGAAACAATTTTCCTAAAAATAACCTCACTCTATTGAAATTGTACGTTCATGATTATTCTTCAATTTTTTAATTTTCTTTTAAAATACTTCCATTTAGAACTATTAGTTCCGAACCACTTTTATTCATACTTTTTGTGCGGAATAAAAGCAATCCAAAACTATTTATAAAAAGCATAAAAATAGCAATTCAAGTCTATGTATTTTGGAAAAGTTTACATAGAGACTATTTAGTAAAAAAGCAAAAAACTAATAGCTCCAAATTACATTGCTTCCTTATAGTTATTAGTTTTGAACCAGTTTCATCTCTTGCAACAAATGTATTAGAACTATCCGATCTAATTTGGGAGTATTTTAAAAAACACAAAAACAAAATTAGACATGATCACGAGTGACATTTTAAGGGGTCGGGTTTGTATAAAGTGACCACATTAAATATAAAAAGTAAGTTTACAATGTTCTACACTAGGTGAAGGGGTTGGGGTCATGGTAGTAGTACTTCACACCCTAGTCACGATGTTGTGGTTTCAATTCTCACCACTAACACCAACTCATTAATTCTTTTAAAAAAAAGTTAACTCCTAATCTACTTGAAAAAACAGTAGGGGCACGTTTCTCCCACTGAATTACCTAAAAAACATAAAAATGTAAAGAAAAATGTTCTACACCATCCACCGATTATTTTAGTTGGGGTGTAAATTTAATG